TCAAAACTCATAATGTGATTAAGAGGCATAGCTGTTAAGAGCTAAATCATTTTTCATTCTCTATGATTGGTTATTCACCATCATGATATGAAAATCATCTCTTTCGGATGCTTACGTACTTGGCTTTGCAGTCAGCGCATTCTCTATTCTCTGGCAATTTAAGAAGTCCTTCCAGTATCTGCACATGTTTAAAAAAAAATTATAAATAAATCAAACCACTGAATATAATAAAAAAAGGGACAAAGGCAATACAAGATACTGATTCAGGAACTTTGAAATTGAACGGTACTTAAAGTGTGCAAATCACATAAAGAAAGTGTAAATATTTAAAGAGATGTCAACGAATAGTAGCACAAATACAGCATCAGGTGAGTTAACACTCAGTAGGATCATATTCATAATGTTCCAAACTCAAAGCAGAAAATGATTTTGAAATCACACATAAACAGAAATGACATAGATGCTTCGAAAGGATCTTCTTCAAAACTAATTTCTCCAAGCTTCGAAATTTACATATTAACTAATAACCGCATACACGGATAATTATAGATAACTGTCGATGAAGATTTAGACTAAACACCGTTCGATCATCATATTACCGCCCATTTCGATAGTTCATCACTAAAACCAAATTTCATACACTTTGGAAGAAGAAAAAGTACAGCTATCGGCGAATCGAAACAAATTCAGATAAATCGAATCATGACCCAGAACTATAGATCAAATCCCATCAAACCAATCAAATCCAACACATCAAGAATTGCCTTTCATATCCACAAATCCAAATTGAAATGTACAAAACTAATTAAATCCAATCAAACTCCGGCCATGCACAAATTCCCAAACATTTTCCTGTCAATTTCTCGGCAACCAAACACAAAAACAAAAATCAAATCCCACAATCGACAGCGAAGAATCCGAAAGAATATGCACGGAAATGAACAAGATCGGGGACAAATTTCGAATTCTGAAAAATGTACATAAATTGGAAAGGGGGAAAAAGATGAGACCTTTCTGTGCTTGGCGTTGAGCTCCTTGGTGACGTTGGCCTTTTCGTTCATGGTGACGCGACCGTACAACAGCAAAACTAGCAGACGCGACGAAAGACGAAGAGAAAAAGCAGCAGCAGCTCCGCGGGCGGACGAAGGTCAAATTGGTCTTTTTGCGCTCTTTCTCCCTCCCCTTTCTCTCTCTGGATTATTATGCAACCACGAAAGAGAAACGAAAGAAAGAGACGAGAGAGATCGAAGCACAGTCGCTCTTGACTTTGTTTTTGTGCCTTTGCTATTATCTCCCTGCTTTTTTCACCTTTTCACATTTCTTTGTTTTTTTCCTTTTCTTTTTATACCCAAAATTACATTGTGACTAGAGGTGGGGGAGACATCAATCTGGACTAAATCGATCAAAATTGATTTTACACTATTGTAAATCGAATTGACAATGAAAAATGTCTGCCAAGTCAAGTAATGTTTTTAGAAATTAACTTGGCTTCTCAACAATGTCACGTTTCTGCACAGTTATCGTCAAATCAAGCGTCATCGTCACACTTTAACAGAGCCCCTGACGCTTAGGCTACGGAAGAATGAATCTGAAAGCACAACATAACTTTAGATATGGAAGTGAGACGAAAATAACTAAGGTCATCTCCAACCGAAGGCTGACCAGATGGCTCGTTTTAGCCATCTGGCCCTCCAAGATATTAATATTTTAATGAACAGTACATGGTCACATTTGCCTCCGTCTCCAACCGAGGGCCAAAGGGTCTAGGGCTCGTTTTAGCCCTGTCACAAAAAAATCGTCTCCAATCGAAGGTCAAACATAATTTATTATTTAAAAACTACAACTTAAATTCAAATCCAATGACTACATAACGTTGGCTAGCCGTTGGATTTGAATTTTTTTTTTGCTATAAATAGGGTGGATATTGGGCTATAATTCACACAACTTTGAATTCAATCTCTTTCAATTCAATCACTTTTAATTCAATCTTTTTCAATTCAAGTTTGCAATGAATTCCAACAAATTTTGTGAAATAGAAGTTATAGGAAAAAATGGAATTTAAAAAAAATATATGAAACAAATTTTGTAAAATAAAAGTTATAGAAAAAAAATGAAAAATAAAAGTTATAGGAAAAATTTTGTAAATAAAAAATAATAATAAAACTGTGTAAAAAAAAAAAATCAAATGCAACGGCTATCTGACGTCAGCTAGCTGTTGCATTTAAATTTTAACTTAAGCATTCATGTCGGTTATAACCGACATGATTAATGTTTTTTCTGGCCAGTTCTTTGGACCTTTCAGATTCTGTGGGGCCCTCTCAGATTCCACGAGCCATCTGGCTTAGCCCTCGGTTGGAGACGATTTTCGGACTATTTTCGGCCCTCTGGCCCTCTAGACCCTTCGGTTGGAGATGGCCTAAGGGTAGCAAAAATACGAATTTCACAATATTTGAGAGTAGTAAAATGAGAATTAATGGGCCAACATCATGCCACGTCATCAGTTAATAGAAAATCTAACAACTACACTAACTAAAGTATTAAAGTGGCAAAAAAAATCAGACTTTAGGTATAAAAGTAATACAAAGAAAAGTAATTGTAGTAAACTGCGATTTTGATAAAACTTGATAATAATACAGTGAAAACTATCCCTAAACTCTTGAATGATGAAATTAAAAGAAACAAAGAAAGACGCGTTGAAGAAGTTGAAGCAGAAGAGCCAAACCTATTGAATGAGAAGGAGGAAGTGAAATTGTTGGCAGACAAAAGAATTTGCAAATGTCAATTGTTATTTGGAAGTGGGGTTGGGGGGAGCAGGTTTTTTGAGTGTTGAAGGTCGTGAGTTGTAATGGGTGGTCACAAAAGGTGGAAGAATTATTTGGTGGGAATCTATCCATCCATCCCACTAATAAAATCAAGCTGACCATGTGACCGGATTCCTTCCGGTGTACAAGAATTAAAATATCCAATTCTATCTCTATTGACATGTCTTCATCATTGATTTTTATTTCAAATTTGTATGATTGGTTAGTTTGATATTTCAAGCTATTCACCTTTTAACTCTGATGTTGAGCCCAAAAGGTTTTTAAACCAAATTTAGGATTCGTTTGATATCTTACTAAACAATTTTCGTCATCTTTACAATATTTTTTTTAAAGATCAATTGTTAAGAATGATTTTTATTAATACTTTAAAACTTGTTTGGTATAAAATTTAAAATTATTTTTAAGTAAAATTATAAAGAAAAAGAAGGCAACCGAGGAGCTGAAGAAGGTAAGAGAGAGAAAGAAAAGAGATTTGATCAGAGAATTTGGTGTGAGAGTAAAGAGAGGAGGGAGATAAGATGGGAATAGATCAGAAGAGAGGACGAATAGAAGAGAGAATCGAGATTAGAAAGGAGAGATAGGATGGTGAGAAAAAAAAAAGAGATAAAATAGATTGAAGTGGTATATTTCTTCACTTGTAAGTTGTAAGTAGATCTTAGATTTGATTTTCACTAAGGGCGAAGTTAGAACCACATTATTATGGCAATCTCATCTTAAAACTTGAAACTTAAAAAACAGTTATTAATTGGTTTTGAGCTCAATTTATGCAAATAATCCTACCATAACTGTTATTATTTTGTAGTCCTTTATTTTCAAATTGTTGATTATTTTATTTTTTTGTTGAAAAAACGAGGCTAAAAATCCAAAACAAAATTATTGAATAATAAATTTAGCCAAGACATTCTAAATCGATCTTCACAAACTAAATTAACAGCAGAAATTACTAAAATACAAATTGCTAAACCTAGCATTTTGCTGATATTTACATACAGGTTTAGTTGATATTAACAAACGACAACGCATTTTGATCAATCAATAAAATCAAAGAAAAACTAATGAAAATATCTTCAAATCTTTGTATTTTAATAAAAAATTATTAACTAACTTTATTTAATGATAAGAGACAAAATAATAAATAAAAAAACATAAAAAACACCACATGGGCTGGTTCACATACACCCCACCCCACACCTCATTTCCACTATGTTTTCTCTCCATTGTCAGCTATCATTAAAACATTATTATTATTATTTTCTTAGAATAAGAGAAAGACTTCAAATTGAATTACATTTTCCTAGTTTTATTTTTGTGGTATTGTTTCCCAATAGTAGTCAAGATGATGAGATATTTTTTAAAGTGCCCGAAACACAGAGTGATACACCATATCTCTATATAAGTTGTGAGTTTCTTGTGTTAAAAAATAAAATTCCCACCACTTACATAATAACACGTGGTGTATAAAGTTAAGATTGTTGGTGGAGAAGAAGAGGAAGCCGCATATGGGCGAACAATAGAAGAAAATTAAGTAATTGATGTAGAAAGTTAAGAAATTGAAGAGATACATAGAAAATTTGATGAGCATCGAAGAAAATTAGAAGAAGAAAATGTGTTTGGAAAGTGAGAATGTGCCAAGAAAATTCAAGAAGAGGAGAGAGAAGAATATAGTATCGTTAAATTTTATAAACAGTGTAGTACCGTTAAATTTTCTAAACAGTGTACTACCGTTAAATTTCATAAACAGTGTAGTACATTTAAGTTTTCTAAACAGTGTCGTAAGTTTTCATAAACAGTGTAGTAAGTTTCATAAATAGTGTCGTAAGTTTTCATAAACAATGTAGTAAGTTTCATAAACAGTGTAGTAAGTTTCATAAACAGTGTCGTAAGTTTTCATAAACAATGTAGTAAGTTTCATAAACAGTGTCGTAAATTTCATAAAGAGTGTAGTACCTTTAAGTTTCATAAATAGTATAAAAAATTTCATAAACAGTTTGTGTGAGGACACGTGGCTGTGCACGTCAATTTTTTTTTAATATTAAAATTATGTATTTTTCATTAAAATTTAAGATTTTTTGTCATTTTTATTAAAATTTACATTTTTTTATTATTAAAACTTAAGAATTTTTAATTAAATAAAATTATATCATGATTTTTTATTTAAATAAACTTAACCCATACATTTTTCTTTCTCTTCCCCAACGCGAAAAAGTCTGTTATTGCGTCTTTGTTTTAGGGTTTTGGGTTTTCATCTCGTTGTCCTACATCTTTTCCGAATCGTCATCTTGTTTGCTTCCCAAGATAATCAGTGAAATACGTTTCTAATCTACAGGGCAAACGGTGAGAAATTGGGGGTTTTCAATTGAATTTTCAATTTTGTGGGTTCGCCCAATACCCCAGATTTGCTTTCCAAAGAATATCGATTTCGAGGGATTTCTTGAAAATTGATCCATCAAAGAAATGAGTACGCTTGATGTGACCATGGGAGATGGCGGCGGCGCCCAACCGGAATCTCGATGGAAGCAAATGGGGCATGGGGAGAAGGAGGCGTCCGTGCACGAAGAAATGAAGAGAATGCAGAAGTTGCCTGCAAACAGCACTTACGTCACTCACCGGTTGCGGGTTCTCAACAAAATTCTCCAGCTTTTGTCCATTCAGGTGCACAAGCATTGAATTTTCAGTACTATATATAGCATAATTTAGCTGTTAACTTTAGCCTGCTATCCAATGGGTGTATTGTTTAGGCCAATGAGAATCAACTAAACCGAACACCCACACGAAAAATTCATTTAGGGTCCGTTTGATAACCATTTCATTTCGAGTTTTCGGTTTTCATTTTTTGTATTAGAGATGGAGGGAAAAGTATGTGGGAGAAATGAGGAATGCAGAAGGACGAAGAAGATTAAATGAAAACAAAAACTTGAACGTCGTTTTGGTTTTTAGTTTTGATTTTGTGGGTCAAAAGATGAAAACTAAAACCGATATGGTTATCAAATGGGCCCTTACTCGACTACTTTTTTGGTTAATTACTAGTTTGCTTTGCTATGCAATATGGAATTTTGTGTTTTGTATATGATTCTGGTTAGAGTTAGAAGACAAATGAATTTGATATCATCTTGCTCCATTGTATGCCAGAGAACCGCATCACAAGAACAGGAGTTGGAGTTGCTTTTCGCCGGGCTGTCTATGTGAACTCAACCTTTCATGGTAGTGGTCAGGTCCAGTTTATGTTATATCTTGTGGGGTTAGATATTGTAATTACTTTTGCAGTGGAGTATATGTAACGACTAGGGTTACCTTATGTGCAGTGTTCTGTTCGAAGCTGGTTGACAAATAGTTTAACTGTTTGTTGTGTTTGATGCGTCTAGAATGATGTATACACTGTTAAATCATGACTTTTACTAGCTCCTTATGTATTAAAAGGTCCTTTTGTTTTAAACCATTCACTTGAATCTCATACGTTTCATAGATTTTTCAGGGAGCCTCACGTTCTTCCCAATGAGGGATAGGGGTAAACTCTGCATGAAATTAGAAATGTAATCACGGTCTTGATGTAAAGACTGCTTTAAAAAATTGTTTAGGTTGTTCCGGCAAATATAGGCATGACTTTACTGTTCGTTCTAGGCAGAAAACCCTTATTCAAACTAGCAACTTTGCGTAGGAGCACACCCTGTTCTGCCATTGTGCTTTGTCTGGGGACCTTCTTATGTTTGTTAGAAGACATCCTCGTATTACGACCGTCCTTGCCTTTTTGGATCGCTTAATACTGTGTCCATATATGCTTATACCATTTGCATTGTATATTTGTTCTCAACCTCATGCAGTATTTGTAGAGCAGTTTCTGTTGATCTTCTGATTTTGTTAATCAACTGCACTGCAGAATCTCAAATCATGAATATATTGTATCTGTGTTTATAAGAAGACATGAGTTCAGGTCTTTTCCGTCACACACTGAAGATTGTACGCTTTTGGCACGCTAATACTCTTGACATGGTGGAAGTGTATGATAGTGATACTGGAGATTATATCATCAGGTTGGCATTTCCATTTCCCTTTCTTTTGGAGTTAATTACTTGGAGCAATCTTTGGTTTCATATGGATGCAATTCTCAGAGAGCAGAATCGGCGCGATGAACTTTTGACCTCTTTTCTTGACGTCCCCGATTTTTGTAACATCATCGTCATTTTTTCTGTGTTTCTCATAATATTCATCTTGTTACTTTATCCGTTGAGACTATACGTCTTAAACCATGCTTTATTTTTGTTTGTTCGGGAAATTAAAGTAGAAGTGCCTCCCTACTTTGAATAAAGCAAGTGGCCAAAAAGTGCTTTTTGTAAAAGCAGCTTAATCTCTTAAGCTATTACATGCACGAATATACTGTAACCATGTCGTTTCATTATAATGAATCAAACAATTTATATTATTCGTATGAAACGTCGCAAATCTCAAAGTATAATAATGGCTTTAAAACCGAGTCCCAAACTTCCTTCCCCAAAAGTAAGAATTCTTAAAGCGACCGAGACGAAAAGGAAAGCCTGAAGCCTTGAGCTACAGAAAAAAATGGGGATTTCCGATTACATCTCCGGGACAACCGATTCGCTGAAACGGAACGCTCCGGGTCTAACGGCCGTCAAAAACTTGTGCTCCACAGCTTACGGTTACGGGTCGGGTGCCGTTACCCAAATCGACAACGCCGTCAGGGGTAACTTGAACCAGTATTTGGGGGACGCGGAAGGCCGGGCCAAGATCGTCCGGTTCAGCTCCAGCATCGCTAAACACACAGCGTTGGAGAGCCTCAAAACCGTCCCAGGTTTTGTTTCCTCGTCATTTTCAAATTTTTTATTGTTTTGGAAAATTGATTATGTCGAGTTCTTGGGTAAGTATCTGAATACTGCTATAGATATGTTAAAAAATTTATTTATTTTTTGGTCAAACAATAAACTATATTATTTGGATAGTTGAGATTGACATAACTCTTGAACTTTATTTTTTGAGTTTTAAAATCGATGGAAATGGTTACTTACATTGTTTATTGTCAATTATTTTGGTTATTCGTAAAAAATATGTGGTAAATTGATGTATGTTTGTCAAATCAACCCCGTCATTTGAGCTGGTGGTTTCTTCAGCCTAGAAGATAATTGTGAAGGATGACCAAAATGACTGGGCGTGGACAATCTCAGAATCACTTCTATCGATTTTAAATTTCAGGGAATTTCAGTGACCATTTTGGCTAAGCCTTAAAAAATTGGGGGAAAAATCCATAAAGAATTTGCTGAAATTTACTTGACCGGTTTTCCTTGCGCCAATGTAGTTATGCGAAACCCGAATTCTTGGAAATTTACATATTCGTGCCCTAGTTACTCTACATTGTTGATTTTTTAACACGCTCAGTGTTTATGTCGTCTTAAACACGATGGATGTGCCGTTACAGTCATGTAACATTCCTCCACGCTTGTAAGTGGGGAGGTTTTAGGTTTGACTCACTGGAATGTGCCGCTAAACTGCAGTCATGTAGCATTCCTCCCCACCCACTGGGTCATTAGCCATAATTCATTATTTTGGATAATTTTTCATGCACGAGTTGGTGCGAGTAACGGTTCACAAATCCGTTTTGTTTATGTCCTTACTTATATAGAGTTGTGCCGATATAAGTAAACTTTTGTTCAAACTTTCGGAAGTTTGGGTTTGATGAAGCTTCAGAACTCTGGTGTAACATGTTGATTTGGGTTTCTTGACTAGTCTAGCTGCAGTTGTTATCGACTAATTTGCAGTTGGATGTGTAGGTTACAAAATTGTTAAGAGATCAATCAGTGACTTAAATGAGACCGATGAACAAGAAGTGAATGGGAAGGCAATGCAGGCTGATCTACGCAGATTGAAGAAAGAACTCAGTGAATACAGGAAAGTACATGAGCTAGAAGTGGATGTGAAGGCATTGCAGACCGATATACTCAGATTGGAGAAAGAACTCAGCGAATACAGGAAATCACACAAGCAAGTTCAGCTAGATAAGCCAAGTGCGGATTTGAAGTTACCAAACACAGCCAACATTCATTCAGTTGCAAATTGGAAACCAGAAGACGTGATCGGAGTCTTTATGATGAAGGAGGTCATGGGCAGGAAATTCTTGGATGATCTAATGGCTTTTCGCGGGGGACCTACAAAGAAGTAGAAAAGTGTCAGGTACTAAGTGGAGCGATGATCGTTATCTGTCATGAATATTTGCCTTGTTTGAAGCTTTGTGAATAGGTTTGCATGCTCTGTGTGATGATTCCCTCTGTGTGCTTCTGCATTCGTTTTGTAACTTTTGTTTGGGGTCTCGCCCTTGACTTGAGATGTGGTCCATTGGATGTGGCGCATTCGAGATGATATGTGCTGCTAATGTACTAGTAAGAAAGCAGCCTTTTGCATTTTCAAATCCAGTGGCCTTGTCTTGTTTGTAAATTGAGGGCACTGTCAAGTACGTTCATAAATTGAAGCTAACTGGTTCTATATCGCTGTTTAACGGTTCTCGTAAACTCCTACCCCAATAGATGTTTAAAAACCCTACTTGACTCGAACCCCAGGGCTAGCCAATTGGTAAGGGAGGAGAGATTTTTCATTGTACTGGGAACACGACTCGATACACAAAGTTGCGTAATACAATTGGACATAAATTTTTTTTTTCTTCAAGTTTTCAACTGTTTGTGTTATTACACTTGGTGTACCGGGCTGTGTTTCTGGCACATTGAGAAAAATTTCTTGTGAGAGGAGTGGAGGTAAATGATTGATAAAAATAGGGAATTACTATTGGCACTTTAAAAATCTCAATTAGCACTCCAAACTTTCTATAATTAGAAAGAAAAATACACTTGTGAGGAGTGTAGAATGAGATTTTTGGAGTGCTAATAATAATTCCCTAAAAATATCATAAGTGTACCAAAGAAAGAAAAAATGTTCTACTTACAAAAGTAACAGGATTGATAAGTTTTGCATACGTATATAGTACAATTAATAATATGGAATGTGGGAGAGAATCTGCAAAATGAGGTCACAACTTTGTGTTTAAAGACTTAGTTGTTGATTTTGGATCCAAAATATTGTTATCTGAAAATTGGTCTAAAATTTCTGAAAAACTAGCATTTTATGATTACATCAGCAATAATCCGGCAAGGGGGGTTATTCAGAGTGGGCTCAATAGACAACCGGGATGGAATAGCTGTTTGGTGGTTAGGACATCCTAGTTTTAGAGATAAAGAGGGGCGCGAACTTTTTGTACGTTGTACGCCTACTTTGTTTGGAAACACTGCCCTCATATTACAATATTTTTGTAAATGAAAATAAACTTTTGTAATACAAGGTTCTTATAAACAGATCTTTCTCCTCACGTCCGAAAGAAAATGTAACCAAATCAATTCATTGCGGTTCGGTTTTTATAAACGTATTTGTAATACAAGGTTCAGTTTTTATAAACATATTTGTTCTTGCCGTTGTTTCAAGAAAAGGCCTAGCATCAGAAAGTGATTTTTTAAAAGCACTTTGAATCTCAGAAAGTGCTTATCCAAGATTATAACAGTGCCATTTCATCCGGTGCTTTGCTTCCCCAAGCACCAAAGCCAGCAGATACTTTGCTTCAGTAACACTCACTGTTTAAGTTTTCAGTTCTCTTATAAAGGGCTTAGCCTTTCAAGGCAATCCTTTGCACATGTAAGTTACTTTTAATTGTCACTGGTTTTCGTTTTCTTTTCATAGAGGGCGCGGCATTTAGCGGAAGAAAGATTTTGGTGTTTTGGCAGTCAGTGAAGCCAGGTACACAATCTTTTTTTTTTTTTCTGAAAATTATCTAATAGTTTCTTTTATGTTACAAATTTTTGTATATGTTAGGAAATATTTAACCACAGTAGTTTCATCGAATTGCTTGTTGAAAAATATGTGGATCGAGACACCGTATATTCAGAGTAAAATTATCTTGCATTGTTCTGGTGATGTGTAGGAAAAGGCTTTGTTGGGAAAAGGCTTTGTTGTTGTTGTTGTTGTTCTGGTGATGTGTAGGAAGTAAAAATTCAGCTATGGGAATTCTGACGCGGATTTGTGAACGAATAATGTTCATATGGTATCTGATTAGGCGATGGATTAAGTATCAACAAAACTTTGAAGTTATTAATATGAACACTCTCAGAAGAATGTTGGAAGAGCTAATTAGCCAAACTGAATGTATAGTCGAAAAATTAGATGCCGAGCCTCTTGTTCCAGTTATACAACAAAGAGATGAAGTCTATGATTGGTTAGAGAACGCGGAAAGGATCAAAACTCAAATACTAACTATCGAAAAGCTCGGTGAAAGGAAATTTATCTCGCGTGTACATCTTGCAAAGCTCGTTGATGAAAAAATCGGAGAAGTTGAGGAGTTGCTGAAAAAGGGTTGTCTCTATAATGAGATTTGCACTAAGAAATCGTTTAAGTACGTGATTATCGGTGGTGGAGTTGCAGCTGGATACGCAGCAAGGGAGTTTGTCAAGCAAGGGCTCAAACCGGGTGAGTTAGCGATCATATCCAAAGAAGCCGTGGCACCTTATGAACGACCGGCACTTAGTAAGGCCTACCTGCTTCCTGAGGGAGCTGCAAGGCTTCCGGGGTTCCATGTCTGTGTCGGAAGTGGAGGTGAGAAGCTGCTTCCGGAGTGGTATGCGGAGAAAGGTATTGAGTTACTTCTCAGCACAGAAATAGTCGAAGCGGACCTTCATTCAAAGATCCTCACTAGTGAAACTGGGGGAATGTTTGAATTCGAAACTTTGATCATTGCAACTGGTTCCAGAGTTCTAAGGCTGACAGAATTCGGCGTGCAAGGAGCTGATGCGAAAAACATTTTCTACTTGAGGGAAATCAGTGACGCTGATAAACTTGTAGAGGCAATTAAAGCCAAGAAAAACGGAAAGGTAGTGATTATTGGAGGAGGATACATTGGTCTTGAAGTCGGAGCTGCTATGAGAATCAACAAATTTGATGTCACCATGGTGTCTCGGGATCCATGGTGCATGCCTCGGCTTTTCACTAAAGAGATAGCCGCTTTCTACGAGGGTTACTACGCCAATAAAGGAGTTAAAATTATCAAGGGCACCCCTGCAGTAAGCTTGGATGCTGACACAAACGGAGACGTAAAGGCAGTGAAACTCAAGGATGGCAGGGTGCTGCAAGCTGATATTGTTGTTGTTGGTGTCGGCGCAAAGCCTCTCACTGATTTGTTCAAAGGCCAAGTTGATGAAGAGAATGATGGGATCCGAACTGATGGAATGTTCGAAACAGATGTCCCTTATGTGTACGCCGTGGGGGACGTTGCTACTTTCCCTATGAAATTGTACAACGACATGAGAAGAGTCGAGCATGTCGACCACGCCAGAAAATCAGCTGAGCATGCTGTGAGAGCTATCAGGGCAAGTGAGGAAGGGAAGTGCATTGACGAGTACGACTATGTTCCGTACTTCTACTCGCGTGCCTTCAATCTTTCTTGGACATTTTACGGAGACAATGTGGGTGATCCGTTGCTGTTTGGAGACCGCGATCCGACGTCAAGAAAACCGAAGTTTGGAGCAGCATGGATCAAGGATGGGAGGATTGTGGGAACGTTTTTGGAGGGAGGGACAGATGAAGAAAACAAGGCTATTGCCAGAGTTGCAAGGGCACAACCTTCAGCTGTGCATTTGGATACGCTGGAAAGGGAGGGCTCTACCCTTGATATTTCCATGTTAACAAATTCCCACTTATAATTTGGGAAGTGAGTTTAATTGGTTACTGGAACTCTATATATTTATGTAATACCCTGTATAAAATTAAAAGATCGGTAATGTGTGTGCGTCCTGGATTTTATTTTTTTTTTCTTTTCATTTTCTTCACATTTCATTCTCTGTACATATTCCATGGATTGATTGAAAAAAAACAAAGTGATTTCATAATTTCATTGCTCTTTTTGTTGCTATTTACTAAAGTATGTGGCTTAAACCTAATATTTTTGTTATTGATAATGCGTGTGACCTAATAGATTGACGAGAAATGCTTTATCCACACTTAGCTACGCATTTTGCCACATCTCAACTAATAACACATTATCAGGTGTGTTATACTAAAGATTAACAATCTACGTAGCGTGCAAAAGCTGTTAATTTGGGTCCTAATTATGTTCTTTGTGAACTCAGATGTGTGAGTGTGTCAACATGCGACCAAAAGGCCAGTTGTATATTTTGATTTGTAGAGTATGGCGTGAACTTTGGTTGGAACAACATTAATAACGTAAAATAATAAGAATTTTTTTTAACAAACGATATTATCTACATTAAAAGAAATGATAGGTTTAGCCTCATAATATACTAGAAATAATGTTATGTACATCAAATTTGTGCATCAGATTATGTGGCATCAATCAAATTTGTACTTTAATTCAAGTTGAGATTTGATTAATAATTGTAGTAAAAAATATTTGGTGTCCATATAATTTAGTATACAAATTTAGCGTAGGTAGCACCAAATCCAAATAATAAATATCAAATAACATTTAAGGACGGGGAGATATTATTTTGGACAAAAAAAATAGTTGAATTCTTGGTAAACTTGAACATCCTTCATTTATTTGTAAATATAATAACACAGAAGTGCAGCATAAAGCTTTAGAAGCAAAAAGAACAACAGATCAAGTTTTAAAGACCTTGAGAGAAGAAAGAGAGTTTATAAGAAACCAGTTAGTCGTAACTCTAGATAAAGGTAGACTGTAGTTTATGATAGATTATCTTAATTTAGAAATTAGTGAACCTAAAAAAGAAAAAATAACTTTATACCAAAATAGTTTAGTGACTAGGTTTGCTTGCTCTGTGTGATGATTCCCTCTGTGTGCTTCTGCATCCGTTTTGTAACTTTTGTTTGGGGTCTCGCCCTAGATTTGAGATGTGGTGCATTCGAGATGATATGTGCTGCTAACGTACTAGTAAGAAGGCAGCCTTTTGCATTTTCAAATCCAGTGGCCTTGTCTTGTTTGTAAATTGAGGGCACTGTCAATTACGTTCATAAATTGAAGCTAACTGGTTCTATATCGCTGTTTAACGGTTCTCGTAAACTCCTACCCTAATAGATGTTTAAAAGCCCACTTGACTCGAACCCCAGGGCTAGCCAATTGGTAAGGGAGGAGCGATTTTCATTGTGCCGGGAACATGACTCTATACACAAAGTTGCGTAATACAATTGGGCAGAAATTTTTTTCTTCTTCAAGTTTTCAACCGTTTGTGTTGTTACACTTGGTGTACCGGGCTGTGTTTCTGGCACACTGAAAAATTTCTTGTGAGAGAGGAGTGGAGGTAAATGATTGATAAAAATAGGGAATTACTATTGGCACTCCAAAAATCTCAATTAGCACTCCAAACTTTCTATAATTAGAAAGAAAAATACACTTGTGAGGAGTGTAGAATGAGATTTTTGGAGTGCTAATTCCCTAAAAATATCATAAGTGTACCAAAGAAAGAAAAAATGTTCTACTTCTTACAAAAGTAACAGGATTGATAAGTTTTGCATACGTATATAGTACAATTAATAATATGGAATGTAAGAGAGAATCTGCAAAATGAGGTCACAACTTTGTGTTTAAAGACTTGGTTGTTGATTTTGGATCCAAAATATTGTTATCTGAAAATTGGTCTAAAATTTCTTAAAAACTGGTATTTTATGATTACATCGGCAATAATCCGGCAAGGGGGGTTATTCAGAGTGGGCTCAATAGACAACCAAGATGGAATAGCTGTTTGGTGGTTAGGACATCTTATTTTTAGAGATAAAGAGGGGTGCAAACTTTTTATACGTTGTACGCCTACTTTGTTTGGAAACACTGCCCTCATATTACAATATTTTTGTTAATGAAAATAAACTTTTGTTAATGGTTCAATAGATCTTTCTCCTCACGTCCAAAAGAAAATGTAACCAAATCAATTCATTGCAGTTCGGTTTTTATAAACGTATTTGTAATACAAGGTTCAGTTTTTATAAACATATTTGTTCTTGCCGTTGTTTCAAGAAAAGGCCTAGCATCAGAAATTGATTTTTTAAAAGGAAAACTAATGAAAAGTGTTTGAAAAGTTTGAGTTTTAATGATAAGGACAAAATAAAAGGTAAAGTGAATAGTAACAAGATTGACTTTTTAGTGTAAAAATATGGTTTTTCGTTAAAATGAACAGTACCGGATGATTTTCGTTAAAGTTCCCTTTTTTAAAAGCACTTCGAATCTCAGAAAGTGCTTATCCAAGATTATAACAGTGCCATTTCATCCGGTGCTTTGCTTCCCCACAAATAGTTGAATTCTTGGTAAACTTGTACGTAGGGGGTGAATTTTCAATTTTAATAGTTCGAGGGAACTTGGCCAAAATAATAATTTAGAGGATACTTTGAAATGGGTAGAAAGTTAAAGGGCTAATCAGAAAAATACCAAAAGTAAAATAAAATAAAAAGAAAAGATAAAATGCCCTCTTTAGTCTTCTTCCTACGGCGTTAGTTTCAGCTGACAATACTGAAACATAGGTTTTCCGAGAGCTCCATCAATCCGAAACGCATCCGATATATCGTCCATCACAGAAGCGTATCGGGTACCAAACGACACGTCGCTCGCTGCCGAAATGGCCGCCCTTAGAACTGAGAGACCCTCCTCTAAGCTGGAAGCGCACAAATCCAACCCCAACCGCCGAGAAAAAATTGGCGGCGGGCTTCTGAGCAACATCGCCAAATTCGCCATCGACTCCACCATCAACTACTCTTTCAAGGCCTTCCCTGGTTAGCTTTTCATCTGTCTCATAAATTTTGGGTTTTTTATTGCTTTAATGTAATCTACAATCCGGGTTAATTAACTTTGTTAATTATTTCAAAAGTACTGAGATTTTACAAGAACAGATGGTTCTTGTTAAACCCTAGAATCGGTCGATTCAGTTTCTTGTTTGAAATGACTGATACCCATGTCATTAAATTATAACTGCAGTTGCGGAAATGCATAAATTTTGAATCTTTATTAAATTTTAATTTGTGGGTTCTTTGAAAAATTCAATGAAAAGTTTGGAAAATTCAGAGAGGGTCGGATTGTTGTTTGGGTGTTGAATGCTGTGTGCAGTAATTTGACATATGGAAACAGCAGTCTAATAACTGAACATGAGTTCCTGTGGATGTAAAATCAGGGAAGCTTTGGATGACAAAAACCACAAACGAAATGGTTATCAAACGGGCTGCAATGTAAATACTGTGTACCTTGGTTCCACTAGTCAGTGATTGGACTTGATGTGCGAAACAATGTGAACAATCGAAAATTGAGGGATATGAAAATGCAGACTTGATAGCGATTTTAGGGAGCTAGGGAGGCTTATAGTTTTGTATAACTGTTGGTATCGGAGATTTTATTTGGAAGAGGATGTAAGGGCAATGATGGATTCGGTTTACAGGTTCAGCCTGTACTGCATTGCATCCCATTCCTTGCCTGCAAGGATGCACTGATGCTTTCTGTTAACTGCTATATCTGTTTTCCGTTCAGATTAGTTCTGAGCTATTGTACTTAACTACTATATCTGATGTGAGATAATATAAACAACAACAACAACAACAAAGCCTTTTCCCACTAGTGGGTGAGATAATATATGTTGATGAAAAACAGTTGTATCTTTATAGAACTGGTTCTTTGTGTTTATACTTCCATGTTTTCAGCTTGGCTAACGTTGTGGACGCATTCATCATTGTTTCTTTCTCCCTCTTTTCATTTCGTTTTCTGCCATTTTGATTGCTGCAGGTAGGAAGCAAGCGCATCAGATTGTGCGGGAAGGATTAAAGGACCATCCACCCCTTTCAGCATCACTTGACGACAAGAAGAAACCGGAAGATCTTAAGTTAGTGATGGAGGAAATGCACGCGAAAATGGAGCAGATGCAAGAAGACACGAATATTGTAAAGCAGCAACATAAGACATCAGCAGAGCATGTCGAAGGATCCGGGCATCCAAAGAAGATGGCGGATGAAGGTGTTCAGGGTTCGGATCTTCTGCAGAACAAGAAGAAAAAGATCTTCATTCGTTCGCGTCTTTAGAACGTGGTTTGGTGTTAATGATCACAACAGAAAGTAAACAATGTAAGAACTATAAAGTAAAACTAATTGTAAATAAAATAATGTGGATGTATTGCAAATAAATGAGGTTCAGAGTGAGTATAGCATTACTCAAATTATAGTGCAAAATTTTCGCCCAAAAAGGGGGACGCTAGAGTGACGGTGAATTGGAGCTCCTCTCTTTCAATTTGGTTCTAAGCCCTTCCATTCAAATGGACTGCGGTGGATTTTGGAAAAGCTGAATTATGCGGTCCACTATTGTACTTGTTTTGGCTGTGTTGTGCAGATCGTCATAGACCTGGGAAGGTGAACTTTTGGGAGGACCCAATGCACCCATCTAAATGGAAGGAAGAACAGGTGAGTTTTATATGAAGGTTTTGCTTGTTCGCTGTTGAGACTATCGATTACTTGTTTACTTGAGAAGTGTCGTGTTTTCGCACCATCATTCTTGCGGTGTCATGCTACATTCTCTAGCCTCGAAAATTCCATGTTTTGTCAATAAAAAAGTTGCACCTCCGGGGTGAAATAGAAATCTCGAAACAGCTCTCAGTCGCGTTGTGATGTTGAGGAACAAATTACTGGTGCTATGCACCATGCAGCGGTCTCAGATTCCACTCTAGGTGGATACGTTGGGGGATGTCGTCAAGTTGTCCGTTGAACTACCCGGTAAAAGGACACAAAATGGTCTGGTTCATACGAAAATAACTTTGGATTGCTCACAATAGCGTTGCCCGCGAGCGCGAACATATTGTTCATGATAGTCAAGACTCTTAACATCTTACGCCTTTGCTTCACTCGGCATTTTTTTCCCTTACAGTTTCTGCTCGTCTCTTTAGCTGGATTAAGTGCTTTCTCATACTCTATTACATGGCTGTATCTGGTATTTAGTGTCTTGGGGCCGCATCTGAACCGTCAATTCTTAACTCTATTCGGTGTTGAGAACTTGGCCACGTAAAATGATTCGCGTTGTATGAGTTGGGCGGATTGTTTATGTATGCTATCTATGCAGTGTATTGATGTTCTTTTCATCCGCTAGCAGTGTTTTCATTTGTTCACCTTCACGGAACAAGGCATTTGATTAGTTGTAGCTCTTGTTGGATGACTTGCATGTTTCTGAAACTTTGAAATAAGTTTGCAAAGAGTTGAAGTACGAAACGGAAGTTTTTCCCTATCTGCTTCCTTTGCTTGCAGAGAGTTGAAGAACGGCCACGCTAGCTTTTGGGGGACCTGAACATTTTACAATGAGGATGCACTTTTTTATGTTACAAGACATCGTAGTTTTCAGGCAGTTTCTGTTGTACATGCAACTTTGTAAGTACATGGAGCCCTTTCACCTTATCAAATGTTGGTTATAGCGGATGTGTTCCTTCCCACGCACCCAGGTATAAATGCTCCTCTACATTTTAGATTAGTTTAAACCAGAATATCGCTTGTACCGAAAAATAAAATGTTGGTTTATGGCTCATGCATTATCAACGCTACGACATAAAAATGTTCTTTCGGATCTTTCTAAAAACAACTATTTTGTTGTCTATTCTATATCCACTATTTTCAATTATCTAAGAGTAGTACCAAATCATATTCGAAGAATACTTAGCTTTTCTTCCAAGCAACCTCAGTCTGCATCTTTTACATCCGCTTCGATATCAACGACTGCCGTAGAAGAATGCTTCCCTGTAACCAGTGTCAACGCTCAGAAAACATATCGATTTGACGCATACACTACTATTGAAAAAGCCCTACGATTTATGGATTCATCGACGATTAGGAGTCTATTACACCCTTGGCCCTTAATGCAAGATAAAAACGCAAGGCAATGGTGACAAGAAAAATGCAGACGTTTAACGATCATCAAATGCAGGCTCTCAAAATATGATCACGAAGAGAAAATGGCAACAGGGTTTTCAGGGATAACCTCTTGTGGAACGGGTGAAGTCGTTGAATGCCTGCCCAAATGTCGTAGATTGTTTGGAGAATTTTATAGGGTCCATTACGAACTTGTCGTCCACCACTGAAATTAAACCACATCTTACAACATGAGGCAACATCAACACTATTTTCCCATCAAATACTAAAACAAAATTAAGGAGGTTTACAAAGATTTAGTATGAAAGCGCAAGAAAAATGCCCTATATATTCTATAACCACCAAGTTACTCAGATTTTAGGTATAAAAATCGGCAACACAATGTACACGGTCTACCAACGTATAAAGACTCCTTAAATGTAGCTACTAGTGGCGCCGTAGTGAAATGGCATTGGTCTACTTACAGTATAAAGCAGCATGAGGAATTTTTTGGAACTAAAGCAAACATAAACCCAATTTTTTTTTTACAACTACACATAAAACAGGAGTTCATCAACACGAAAAAACACATAATATTAGTCAGTAATGGTAACGTAAATAGACGGTCTGCAGAGTGCAGACAGCTACGAGGAAAAAAGCCGCAAGTGTAATTCGGAATTCAGAGAAGCAAGAAACCAAATTATGAGCGTATACCGGAAAAAGGTTGACTACAGTAAGGGCAGAGCTGCAAATCATCATTTAAAGTCGACCTGCAAAAGGTTGCATTACCCAAGTTAGGCCAATTTTCACTTGTAACAATCCTTACAAACTATATAAGTTAGCTGGTCTTACTTGAAAATCTGGAAATCGTTTCCACAGTTTGGGCACTGCAAGTACATGAAGAAAAACAATCATTCGAGGCAGAAGACTGCAGAGTAAGAATCAAAACGTCACATTTGATGAAAAAAAAACCCAGGATGTAACTCAAAAAGTACTTGATTAAGAGTCGATAACATTTTGAGTGGTTTTTATATGAACAAGTATCATTCAAGTACTCAATTTTTTCAATTGTTATACATGTAACATGCATTTCTCTGATACTTCCCCCACGGGGAAGAATGAACTGATTACGATGCTGTATTTTGCATTCGAATCCTTCAAAACCATGTATCCATATCTACTGATGCAGCTCCCGCGATACAGTTATTTGAAATCAAGACATCCAATTACTGCAAATATTACTCAACTCCTAATGAACTAAATCATAAAGCCTTTTGGGTAAACCATCCATTCTTCATATATGCAGATTGATAAATGAACTCCAAACACAATCCAAAGCATTATGTAAGAGTAAGACCTACATATCTATTGATAAAAATTAATCGAAGCGGACATAACTAATACAAAATAAAAGGTATTAGCTCCTATCCTCAATTACTAGTCAACGTTTGCAAATGCATAGAGGGAAATGATCAAGTTGAGAACAGGGAAATTAAACCAACAACTTTTGAGTTGCGACTTCACGGCGAAACCGAGCAACAGAAATTCGATACGCAGTCGAAGAAAACTAAAAATTTGAAGTAGCTTACACTGTCTTGAACCATATCCCGCCCTGCCCACCACAGAAAAGCACCCACACCAACAATTGGTACAAGCACTGCAATCAGCTGCATATCAAAACCCATCAATTTCATTAGACATACACAAAACAGTAGTAACATACCCAGAAATGTTAGAGAGAGAGAGAGAGAGAGAGAGAGAGTACCCAAATGGAAACAATAGCATCCAAAAGCCAGCCAAGCTGACCAGTAAACGAAAGATAAGTCAATCCAATAGCTACAGCCAAATTACCCAGAAGTCTAGCAGTGGCTCCGTCATCTTTCCCACCACCACCGCCACCGCCTCCGCCGCCATTAAACCCACCAAACCCCTGATTCAACCTCACCACGACCTCCCTTTTCTTCTTCTTCTTCCTCTTCCACCCCTCATCTGTCACCAAAATCCCATCCCTGTCCCAATACGCCTGCAACCTGAACTTGCTCTGCTTCAAAAACCCAATATTTGCCCTCGACAGAGGAAAATATTTGATGGGTTTCTTGCATGTCCTATTGTGCAAACTGCTCAGCCTGAAAGACAGGGAATTTATGGAGATTTGAACGACGGTTGCCATGGAAATGATAGTAGCTTTTAAGAACAAACGACCCAATATCTCAAAACTCTGGTTTTGTACTTTTCATGGAGGATTTTATGGTGGTATTTGGATTTAGTAAGTGGGGAAAGACAATTTCTCCTTGGATTTGACTTCTCTACTTTCTCGTGTGTCGATTTCGTATTTCTACTTTCAGCACTGCACTTATTTGAACAATCATCCTGTTTCTTACTGGATGTGACTTATGTGGCAAACAGCAGTAGCCCGTATTAATTTCCACAATCTTTTTAATATTTATTTTTAATTGTGCGGAAATTGATTTTCTGGTACATTATAATTTTGGGAAATGATGTATGCATGTGTTCATACTCTAGCATGCAGATATAGCACATCACAGTACAATCAAGAATCTTGTACGAGGGAATGGCTTCTTAAGATTGAGAAGGTTTCTCTTCAAAATACTTTGTGACTGATTCGAAAAATTCGTGTTCATGATCATAATCGTTTATTTTATAAAATTATTCTGTAAAAATTGTCTCTCTAAAAAATCAATTTAAAATAAGATTGTTTAGTCAATCAAAAGATAGTATGTCCACATCTAGACTAATTTTATTGCTCGAGCTCGACATTAACATAGTTCACTGTCATGTAGCATCAGTTTCTATTGTCAGATGAGATGATAGAGAGCGGCAATGTTCGGTGAGAACAGTTTAAAAGGAGAAGTTAGAATTTTGAAATTAATTTTTTTTTTTAAACGAGGAAGTGAAATGTTTAAGAAAGTTTTTGGGTCATCTATAGTAGTACAAACTCTCTACGGTCTGATGATATTTTTCTTCACTTGTAAATGAAAGATTTTAGGTTCGATTCTCACCAAAAGTGAATTTGAACCACATTATTGTTAGCCCATTGTGAGGCTAATCTGATCCTTAGTGTAGATAATATCATTTGTTCTAAAAAAAAAAAAAAAAAAAAAAGAGGAAAACTTTCTAGATCATCGTCACATAGAATAAGGTAGACATGTTTGCCGTCGTTCCTGGTGAAATAACTACTGCATTGCAGAATTGAAGAAACATCAGTACATAAGATTGTAAACCACACTCACGCTTATGATCTCCGAGATCAATCTTTCTTCCTATCATATGCCTTAGTCGATATTTCAGCATCTCTGTATGGCTCGGCACTGTATGCATACTTCTGAACAACTGAAAAGAAAACCATCTCC